GCGCCTCCGCCGCAGGCGCAGCGACGGCAGCAGGAGGACACTTGCAAACACCGGGACCGGGAACAGAGCACGGGAATCACACCCACAGGAAAGCGGGTTCGCAGCGTGAATTCACACATCGACTGTCAGCACGCTGCTTCTCTTCTCTTTCTATTAAGACCTCAGTAACGGACAAATCCTCTACGCACTGGATTTCAGTTTTAGTCATCCTGAATCCCATGAAAATTCATCTGTTCACTACAGAAAGAAGAGTTTAGAGAATGCAACATGCTGTATCATTTTAAGTGTGCATTGTGTTTAAAGTACTTTAACTTACTAGTTTTCTTTTTAAGGTGCCCTGATTTGTTTTTCCATTTTCTCTTTTTTTTTTCCTCTTTTCTTTTTTTGGCAGTGTTGATTTTATGTCTTTAAATACATACCTCCAAAATTACCCATTGAGTTGCCAGATAGGAAGCCATATAATAATAATAATAAAAAAAATCAGGGATAAACATAGAAAATAAATAGGAATTCAAAAATGGTCACCACACCCTGAGAGCAGGCGGCAGTTTATCAAAAAGCCAAAGCAACTCATTGTGAAGTGGTTTTAATACAGAAACAAGTCTCATCTGTCAAGAACTCATTTCACAGTCTATACTTCCAGGTGTAAAGTTCTGTCCCATGCAATTTTAATATATATATATTTTATGTAAATATATATATATACACACACACAAAGTTGTAAATTTTCCTTCATTGATATCATAGGACTTTTTCTTCCATTTACTTGCTAGATGTTCCTTTCACAAGTGCAAGATAATGAGGGCATAATCCTACGTGCTTACAATGGCCACCCCAGTCCCGTGCGGCAGGGTTGCGCTCGAGTGTCTGTGCCAAGGCGAGGGCTGACTGGGCAATGCTGAACTCAGCTCGTGCGCATCAGAAACAAACCAAAAGTAAAGAGAGGAAAAATTAAAAGTAAAACCAGAAAATCCTTGGATGGACGTATTGCTTTCTGCGCTGCGCTCTCACATTATCTCTGGTCGATGTCCGCTGGGGCTGCCTTGCTTTTGTCGGGGTTCTCCTCTTCGGGCTCCACTTTGTACATCTCCTCCGAGCCCTCCTCGCTGTCGTTCTCCTCGGACTCCGTCAGCAGCTCCTCATCCTTGTACTCTGCCACATCAACCACTGTTCCTAAATGCTCTTTTAGCTTCCCGTGGTGCTTTACGTGGTAGCGCTGGTTCTGGAAGAACTTGATGATGGTGTGTTTGGGGAGATCCAGCTGGGCAGACAGGGTGTGAATGGCTTCCTGGTCGGGGTAGAGACCCACGTCATGGATAAAGCTTTGAAGGATACCCAGTGCTTCCAGGGAGATCTTGGTGCGGGATCTTGGCTTTTTGGCACAAGTGTCCTCAGCAGGCGGCGGAGGAGCCTCTTCTCTGGGCGGCGAGTTCTCCTTGGCGGGCTGGGACTGCTGCCTGTGCAGGACCTGCGGGAGCGAACAGACACACACTTCACGTTCGCGGAAACGGCCCTCCCGGCGCGCGCCTGCGGCCGGGCACGACTCCGTGGAGGCTCTGCCTCATTTCTGGGAAGGAAAGTGCCACTCCGGATTCACTCCCGCTACCCTTCCTGCCCACAGGGCTGCTGGCTCAGGAACTACAGGTGGACAAGGGAGAAGAAAATATAAAAGACAAACAGGATAAAATAAATTTTGAAATACACAGTCGATAATAAATACAAAATATGGATGATAAAAAGAAATACAAAATAGCCAAAGCAAAAGTAAGCCAAAATGTGTTACAGGCAGGCGGTCAGGACTGTTGGCCCGTTGTCCTGTCGGGGACAACTCATCCGCCCGCTCCGCTCCTCTCCTTCCCCTCTTGGTCTCCTCTGGCTTTTTTAGGCCAGAGACTCCCACTGTTGCTGCAAGGCGCTCAGCACGAGAGCCCCATGGCTGGCAGGACCCTTGAGTGCTAGTTTATCAGCAGCACCGGCAGTAAAATCCCTCACAACTGCTTTACGGCCAAACAAAACAGACCAGCTAAATAACAGCAGGAGATGCAACAAATTTCCCTTCTCTGGGCGGCAACATCGCAGTTGATGTGGTTGCTGAGCAGACCTGGCGTTACCCTGTCTTCCGGACACATTTCTTGGTGTTACATCTGTAGCAATATCACTAGTTCAGCAGCTCTGAGTTCAGGTAATTCTACCCCTGCACTCTCAGAAAGCCTCTGGGCAAATCAGGCTCGTAAGAGATAGTCACTGGCAATATCTCTTTTTTGGCAAGTTTAAAGAAAGCATATGTAGCTCTTAATCTTCCTAACAGCCTCTTAACATGACTGAGAAAAGGGTCTTGGGCATCCAACAAAACAAAAACAAAACAAAAGACCCTTCCACTGTGCTGGTAGGAATACGGAGGAGCTACAGCTGCTTTCTTTAAAACCAAATCTACACAAGAGAGATTACCAGCAAAAATCCCCTACGGGATTGAAAGCTGCGTTTGCCCAGAGGTTTCTTCAGATGCAGGGAAATAATTATTAGAACTCAGAGCTACAGAGCTAACAAAATCAATATGGATAAGTATTTCCTTCTACAAGGAAGAGGGAAGCCTGGCCCTTCACCCACAGAAAGCGCCACGCGCAAAGCCGCGAGTGCGGCTGCAGCTCACGGCGGCCGGCGGAGGCGGAGAGCACAGAGAGCTTCAGGCTTGGCGGAGCCGCAAGCGCCTTTTTTCCCCTTTTCACATGACAAATAGCACGAGAAACGATCCAGCCTGAAAAATGTTACAAGACTTCCAATCAAATATGATGGAAAAAAATCCAACAATGCAGGATCGGCAGCAGTAAAATGTTTAATTTGAAGGAGATGAAGAGATGCCTACAGCATCTATAAAGCAATCAACCAAAGAGAGGGCTGGCAGTGTGCGGGAAAGAATAATTTTACTTAACCCTTCCTTTTCTGCAGTGACCCTTCCATCCTCTCCATGCAAGAAAATACATAACCCTGGTATTATTAGAGTAAAATGTTAGAAATAGGCTGTATTTTATTTGACTGTTTTCTTAAATAATACAAAAACCTAAAGCCACTGTTATGCAAACATAAAACTCGTAATTTCGCTGGCCCCTAGGCGCTTTCTCTGGATTTCCAATGGTGTTAACAACACAGCATTACCCACGGACACAGGCACAAGCCTAAACGTGTAGAATTTCCTCCAGATTTAGACTGTGATCAGCTTCGTATCTCCTTTTGATAATACAGTCTATTTAATATAAAAAAGCATGCTTTCTATGGGACACAGCTCAACGGTTGAGGTTCATCATGTGAAACGAAACATAGATTCACGTCTTGCTATAGTTTTGCTCTGAACTACTTGTTCATCTGGACACTCCGCTCAGCTCCTGCATGGCCCTGCACAGCACATCCTCACAGAGGAAACTGCCCCTTTTTGGCAGTTCCAGATTCCCCATCTTTGGGGTCATTTTTATGCTCCTGGATGCGCACACGCGGCACTTCCAGCGACTCCCCGCGCTGCCCGCTCGCGCCGGGCAGAGCTCACAGAGGGCCGCGGGCCCCGCTGTGTGCGCTGGGATGGGGCACGTTGCGGCCAGCCCCGCTGGGCACTGCGTGCTGGCAGAGCTTGGCACGGCCTCCTGCCCCGCTGGATGCCCCGTCCCCACGGCCCTCCTCGTTGATTCTCCGTCTACTTCCGAAACAAATGTGAAAACAGAGATTTCCTCCCATGCCCACGGCACTTATTTTTTCCACCCCTTCAAGAGATCTTTTTAAACCCTAGCGGCATCGTAACACTCTGACCGTTCTGGGAGAGAGTTGGATGCTGCTTTAGGAGATTTCATTCAATAGACTTTATCTTCACAGACAAACTCTTTTTTTTTTTTTTTTTAAACATATTAAGCACTACTGATAGAAAACTTTCAAATAAACTAATATGATGGAAGTTGACTTTAAAAGATAAAGTGACTGGCCTTAAATCGCACTGTGCTGAAATATGATTTGAAGGCCACAATGAAAACCAGCTGGAAGCCATGTGTAAAATATAATAGTACATGCCTACAGGGAAGGAAGTGAGATATTGAATGATTAAGTTTAGGAGAGCATATAATGTAGTGTATCATTACGGGAGTGATCAGGATTACTTGTAATAAGTTAAGGGTTTGTGGTCTTTCTAAAATCCAAGGCCCACAGCTGTGGGGGAAGGGATCACGGCGCTGCTGGAGGTGCATCCGATGCCCAGGGCTCGGGCCGGTCCCCGCGAGGAAGCCGGCTGGACACGGAGACGGATGCGGATGTGTCCCCGCAGCGAAGAGCGGCCAGCAACCCCCACGGCTGCAGGTCGTGTGAGCGCTGCCCCGTTGGCGCCGTTGCTGATGCTGGAGGCCTCGCTGCTCCCCGGGTGCTCGCTCCCGTTCCCCCCTTGCGCGCTAGGAGCGGCGCGCGGCAGCGACGAGTGTGAGCGTGAGCGGAGCAGGCGCAGAGCTCCTCAGAACCAGCCACTTGGGGTGGGCACGACAGCATGGCGCCTTCTTGCTGAAAGGTTTTGCTGGGGTGATGAGGTGCCCCTTAATATCAGACAAGCCAGAAATACCCCATTTTTGGAAGGCAAGAGAATGCATCGATTGCAAATGCTGCCTTCCTCTTCTCAAGGACAGGGCAAGTGCTCACGAGCCCTTAGCCCTCCTTGCGCTTCCCAGGACAACCCACACGCCAAGGAGCAAAGTGTAACACACTGACCTGCTCCTTTCCAGGAAGGAGTCCTAACTTCCCCTTTTTTCCTTCAAATTTACATTGCTCTTGTTACCAGACATGACATTTTGCATCAAAATGACCTTTATGCCAAGGACAGAAATGGCTTTGATGCTTTAGTCTGCTTAAGGCTAAATAGAAGCACCCAGAGAGAATACCAGAGATGTCCAAAGCAGTGGCTTGGAACAGGCTGCCCAGAGAGGTTGTGGAGTCTCCTTCTCTGGAGATCTTCAAAACCCACTTGGACGCAGTCCTGTGCCACGTGCTCTAGGTGACCCTGCGTGTGCAGGGGGTTGGACTAGATGACCTCTAGAGGACCCTTCCAACCTTCAGCATTCTGTGATTCTATGCTTCTATGATATCTAGCACCTGTTCTTTGTTACATCGCTCACAAGCACTTGAGGCAAGTCAGCAGGACTGGCTGCTGCCTTGACTCAACGCAAAACGTGGCCCGGGCCGTGAGCAAGCTGTGCGGACAACCCTAAGCGAAGGCTGCAGCCTAACAGCCCCCCAGGCCGGGCTCACACTGGTGAGAGCATTAATTAGACAGCATCCCCGTGCCAAGAGCCTTTACAGGCTTCCCAGGAATGTCTGCTCGAGAAACTGTAGCAGAAGTTACAATTTGCACCTGTGTTCATTTTCTTTTCCTTTTAAAAAAGTGGTTTAGACTACTATTATTTCTTTCCCCTTCCAAAAATATGTTCGTTTAGATAAACACGGCAACACTAGTACCAGCCTGGAATGAAGTATTTTCTTTGGGCTCCTTTCTCATCGTGGTGATTTCACACCTTGACACCATAAAGCTGCGTTAAAGACTGTGGTTTAGTTTCCCTGCTTTTCTTGGATTATACAGTATCCTAAGGTCAAAACTCGGGAAAATCCAAAACTGTTATTAAAAAAGAAAAAGCATCTATGAAGTGATGACAAATTGCAGACTACAGGTGTTAGATTACATTTTGACTCCAGGCAGGTTTAATATACTTTAGTTTCCTTTTACAATTGCCCTTAGCAGGTACTGTTATCAGTAAGGGATTTAAAAAAATATATGGTACTCAATAAAAGAAGACCGTGTCAAAAGAAATCAATATGAGCGTGCAAAATGGTAGGAAGTCTGACATGGATAAATATGTTCACTTTCATATAACTTCAGCCCGAGCTTCTTTTAATTTTGTAACTCAAATGCTAGCAGCACATCTCGTGCATTTTTTATGTAGTTTAGTAATTGCTTCACAAGAGTCAACACCATTGCGAGAGGTAACGAGGGTGCACGGACACGCGGGAGTAGGTACCCGTCTCGTGCCAGGCAGCCCAGAGCCCGCAGGCAATAAAAACTGCCCCCAGAGAGCTGGGCTCGTCCTCCCTGCCTGGCCCACCCCCTGGGGACAGCATCCGGGCACACACGCGCCCAGCGCCAGCGCTGGCCCAGGGGCCGCTTCAGGAACCAGGCAAAAATGGAGAGCCAGAGGGACGAGGAAAGAAAGGAAAGAGGTCCACAGGGAATCCAAAATCAAAAACAAGTTTAGTTTCCAGGCTGGAATGCGAGCTGCTCAAAGACATTCATTTCAACATCTTTAGAGCACACTCTCCTCCCGCCTCCCTTTGCTTTACGGCAGCCGTGTTGCCTAAGGGCAGGAAATGGACAGTGATCAGAAAACCCGGAGCAAACAGCCTGTTTCTGAACCAGCGCCTTGATCCTGCAATGCTCCTCCCGGGAAAAAAAGTCAA